CTTATGATCCCCGAACCCCTGAACAGATCTTGATAAATTATAGCTAAAAACCATCTCGACTATGTTAGCTTTCAGATAAAAACCTCATCCAAATTGAACAATCCGTTAAGGTAATATCCAAAAACAAACATTCACGTCCAACTAATTCTACAGATTGATAGACATGTCAAACGTAAACACCCCTTCCGGTGGCAGCAAGGAACCGACAACCGTTAATCGTTCACCGGGTTGGCTAGAAATACGTAAACAATCATTAAAAAGGACTGTATGTACTCAAATAAATCGTAAGTTATAATTTTGTTTTTAAAAATTTATTTAAAATAATATTTATAAAATTGTAGTTGGGTTAGGTAAGTACGTAGGTAGGTACTATCTACCACCAGATTCATTCAGATATTGATCTCCCGGCCTGGCTGGCGCCCCCTAGGGCTCGGCGCCCGGGTGCGGCCGCCGATCCTATGGGAAAGACGCCCCTGATAGGAGGAGTTTCTTTATCATCTGTCACGGGTGCTCATGTAAGCAACGAAGTTTTGTCTGGAATAAATGTGGATAAACACAGTCTTGTAACTGCTGCATCGTTGGATAGAAGCAAAGGCGCTGGTTGCATACCGCCATTGTTTCTCTCTTCTTGCGCTGAAAGACTATATGCTCCCATCACTATTTTGTTAAGAACATCTCTCCAGGAATGTGTTTTTCCCAGCACCTGAAAGGAGGCTCGAGTGGTGCCGATTCAAAAGAAGGGGTCAAGATCCTCGATAAGTAACTATTGTCCCGTTTCAATTCTCAACACCAGTATAAGCTTTCAAAAAAATTGTATATGATCAAATCAATCTTATAATTACAAAATATATTCCTCACACGCTATATGGTTTTTTGGGGGATGCGGGGTCGCTCTACTTTGTTTAACTTAGCCTTGTTCTCCAATTATCTCCTGGTGGAAATGGAGAGAGGTGGGCAGGTTGACGTGGCCTACACGGACTTTGAAAAAGCTTTCGACCGTGTGGACCACGACATCCTTCTTCTGAAACTTCACTGCCTTGGTATACACGGCAATTGTTGCGCTGGGTCCGTTCTTACCTCACCAACCGCTCACAGACTGAAAGCCTATATTTATGAGTTAGAAAAACTTTTTCTGTTTTGTTTTGAGTTTTTTATTACTTTTTCTGAAAAAGTAATAAAAAAGTCAAAACATTTGCTATACGCTGACGACACAAAGATTTATTTGGAAGTACGAGTAAGTTCTAGTTCTAATAAAGGTTGTGAATTTTTACAAAAAGATCTGTAAAAATTCATCATTCAAAATTCGAAACTACTATATCATATCTCTTATCTATTAGACAAGTCCGTCCGTCCGTCCGTCTGTCTGTGGTGCTGTTTCAGCGGCCAAACCGTAAGAGATAGATAAAGAGAATATTTAAGTTATAAGTTAAGAATAGTCTGATAAGACTACAAACCGGATTTGAGTAACGTAGCACTTCCGGTTTTCGAGAAATCACGAATTTCAAACGAAACCACACAAAATCTCCGAAGTTCTCAATTAATTAAATACATTTTTTTTTTAAATCAGGTTTTGGTGAACATTTGTTTCTCTGGTTTGCTAGTAATTACTATATCAGGAATAAAATAACAGTTAGTATTGGAAAATGTCAGTGTATAAGCCAACCACGCAGGAAAAATCAGATTGTATTCAGTTACAATTTTAAGGGTGTGACAATTAAGAAGGCGGAGATATTTCGTGATCTGGGTGTTTACTTTGACAGTAAAATGTCCATATCCACTCACATATTGATACTGTAATAGGTGGTGAGGTGTACCGATACTTGGGTTTTGTCACGCGTACTTGTCGACCCTTTCCAGCCCAATAACCTTAAAATTAGTGTACTACGCATATGTGTGGAGTATATTAGAGTATACCTACTGTGCCTGTGTGGTCTCCATGTTATGCGTCGGTGGCATACAAAAAAAATGTCAGACATCTTGGCTTTAAGTGCAGGCAGGTGGACTTAGGTGCCGATTATAAGGAAGTATGTCGCGCTTACAACCTTCTTACGCTGGAGGAACGTCGACAGGTTCTGGATATTGGGCCTATGTGACGTCTTCCGTGGTCGTATGGATTGCCCTGAGCTCGTTGGGCTGATCCCTGCACTCCCCGGCAACGTACGCGACACACCCGATTATTACATGTTCCACATGCCATACTAATTACTGACAATACGCTGTATTCGCCAGACTCCCACACATTTTCAATAAACTATTTTTTGATATTGACTTGGATTGATGATTGGATCTAAGAACCTTTGCTTGCTTATATTAAGCGACATATGTGCGGTGAGTGCAGGTATGTGTTGATACAAATTTAATTAGAAGTAGTAATCCACCCCATTCAGCATTATTGTAGGTATCCTTGTTTCATTTACCCATTGCAAGTTCAACATGAAAGCGTTAGCGTTGACATAAGATAAACACAGTATAATTGTAATATTACTGCGCATTAAAAGTTTTGACGAGTTATTTAGTTTCATGCTCCCACTCTTAAATGCAGTATGTTGTAAAGATACGATTAATTAATTAATTTTATTACTACTGATAAACGCAGTAAGTAACAATCACACCGATCCGCACGACAACGGCTAACTAGAGCCGAGGTCCGAATCTCAGAGACGCCCTCTAGTTGAGCCGTCCCGCTCAGGTTCAAGTGGTCTAGAGGCTCCAGACGGAGAGGAGACTCCCCCCGTGGGCTGATACCACCTGGAATACCTCACCGTTTCCGCCGTTTTCGCCGTCCCCAAACCCGGAGACGCTGTAAAGGTCAATGGGTTGGCGGCACCGAAAAATAAAATTTACTTTAAACCCGTTTTTCTCTAAACCGTTTACATGTTCTTTAACGCGTTCTTAAATTGTGCGGCAGAGGAATATATATATATATATGATTCCCACTTAGTAGCTCATATTCTGACGCCATAACATTTCCTCTCTTACACCTTTACTGGTTAACTGGTAGAGAATGACTATGGCATTAAGTACACCATTTACTGTTTTTGTTTTATGATAATAAAGAATAAATAAATAAAGTTGATGCAAGAGGAGCGGGACAGATTCCACTTTCATAGTCGTTTTCTTCTAGGAATACATTTCCCTCTTATGAAGTTAGAAACAAAAATGGACTTTATGTATTACTAGGTAGAGTACATTTTTTTAAATCAGTACCCCTAGTATGAGTTTTTAGAGTCTCGTTTCCATACATTGACTAGCAGCGCCCCTAGCGTTAACTATCAAAAACAAAAATCAGCAGTATGAGTTTCATCGAGTCATCGTAAAACGAAAACTACCAGAGTTTTCGTATGTCGTTTGCATTTTGGCAGTACAAGTTACAACTTTGACAGCACGTCATGAGTATACTACGTTACGTTTGATCATATCGTCACTCGATTAGAAACTTTCAGTGACTAAGTGCATAACTAAGTGTTTCGGGTCAAGTTTTTATGCAATCTAATAATGTTTTCGGCACAATATTTAGCTCTCATGCTCGCTGAAGACATTGACGAAGACCAGCATGCACAGGAACGACGGGAATTATTACAGCGGAGGCAATGATTTCGTGAAATGGGACGGAAGTGTGTAACAGGAAGTAGAGAAAGCGCGCACTATTTGATTTGATTTTAGAACATAATGTTCAAATGGCTTATTCTTTTTGTAGTAGTTTTTTTTACTAATATAAGGTGAGGTTTCAAATGTTACACATACGCGACTACTGTAAGGCTCGCTCGTTTTGAAGTTATACTTCTTTAGGCGCGTTATGAAAAAATGATGAGAGTGAAATTTTAAGATGCGCGCGCATCACTGTAACACAAAAATTAACAGCATGAAGTTGATCGCTATGCGTTACTTTTGTGTTTACCGCACATTAAGAAATTCTACCAACAAAATAGAATCTCTATTTAGTGGGTGCTAACGACTGCATTGTGAAGGCCTATCAAAAGTATTTATTAATCTGGAACAACGGAACCAAAGCGCGATTCAGGAGACTACAGCGCCATCTCTTGACCATTGGTGTAGTAGAACCAAAAACCACATCTTTATTTTTTGTAATAAAGTAACAGTTATAGGTATTCGTATTTATAATATCAAAAGTATTTATTAATCTGGAACAACGGAACCAAAGCGCGATTCAGGAGACTACAGCGCAATCTCTTGACCATTGGTGTAGTAGAACCAAAAACCACATCTTTATTTTTTGTAATAAAGTAACAGTTATAGGTATTCGTATTTATAATATCAAAAGTATTTATTAATCTGGAACAACGGAACCAAAGCGCGATTCAGGAGACTACAGCGCAATCTCTTGACCATTGGTGTAGTAGAACCAAAAACCACATCTTTATTTTTTGTAATAAAGTAACAGTTATAGGTATTCATATTAATAATATTTATCCACATGTTTCTAGTTTGTATATTCGGAATACGTGTTTGAGTTTCATACAAGTGCAAATCACATGTTCTAATAAATTATATTCAGTATTATGATTTTGATTATTTATTTATTTTTTCAAATCAATATTTTGATTCTTTATTTAATTTTTCAATTAAAACTGAACTTTATTGACTGTGTCCAGACTTTTTATTAATTTATTGTAATTAATTATTTGCATGCAATTAAAAACTAATTTTAAACGATGCCAAAGAAGGATAACTTCTCACGCGCCTACATAAGTACACGCACCCATTTTTTTTTTATTTTATTTCTTTACGGCCTTGAAGTCAACCATACAGCCAAGTTTCACACACAGATAAACGTAGGTTCTATACTCTTTGGACACAGATTAATAAGATAGTCTTACATAGATTAGCTTTGTTTAAGGTTGAATTGGGAGTTTTTGGCGCGATACTATCATCGAGTGTGGTTGGAGTCTTATTTTAATTATTCTTAAATTCGTTCAAAGTGGATATTGTGAAACAAAATTGGTGTGATTTAGTGTTACAACCATTTGCGCAACTAAAGAATTAGTGGAATCTTTAAAATATACTCTATTCCGGTCAAGAACGTCGGATGTGAGAATTTTATTGTATGTTAGCTACCTCACAGAAGCTTATTGAAAAACCAACTCGATACATTTCGTGTCAAACATTCCAAAAAACATTACAATGCGTCACACCGACATTCTAATGTGAAAAGTTTTGGTTGTATGGGCATTGTTCCCTTTGCCTTCCATAAAAAGGGAGAATCTTTAAAAAAAGTTAAAATTATAGAATGGCTCAGCTATCTCTTTTTTGGCAATAAAGAAGGAAAAAGACAAAACTAAACAGTGTGAAGTTCGTATGATCGAGTCATCGAGCATACGATATCGTGAAAACGAGGAGTGTAGTGCTATACTCGTACTGCGACTGCGATACACACAATTCAAAAACGTTAAGTTTGATCGCATCGACGAAGACGATCGTTCGTTTCGTATTAAAAAAACTCATACTAAGGGTAGGTACTTATATTGTTTCGTAAGCATTCCAGATAGAATTTAAATTCCTTGGTTGGCAGTTATACATTGTAATACTTAAATAAATAAATAATAAAAGGAAGACAACCAAAACAAGAATAAGATTCTCAAATGACTTTAATATAAATAACGTTTACAATCATAATAGTGAAATAAATAGGTATGCAATGGTGTCGATTCTAGCATGTTTCTCTAAACCTAAACTTAAATTTGACAGCAGTGGTGTCGATTCTAGCATGATTCTCTAAACCTAAACTTTATTTTGACAGCAGTGTATCCTTGTCATTCGCTATACAGACTGAAAAGGAGAGACTGATGTTAAATTTAGTTTTAAGTTTAGAGAATCACGTCAGAATCGACACCAGTATATCCTTGTCATTCTCTATACAGAATGAAAAGGAGAGACTGATGTTAAATTTAGTTTTAAGTTTAGAGAATCACGCCAGAATTGGCACCAATAACTTGTTATCATTTATTACACACAATATTTATTTATTCTTCAAAATATAGAGGAAGAATGCTTTGAAAATCCATATACATTCTACTCTGTATAGGTACTCATAGTAATCATTACGAATAGACATAAGTATTGGGGAATGGCTTAGAAAAACTATTAATAATTCTGTATAACATGGTTTGATTTGGTTACTACCATCATTGTACGATTTATGATTCATAAGATTTTCTTGAAATAAAATGAATGAATAAAATACTATATTCTTATGAAATATAAAATATTTGTAAAGAAAATCACAGATATAAAAAATATGCATAACATAATGAAACTCCTACTTCACTACAAAACATTTTATCACATTACATTATGAATTAACCCCGTTCAATGAAAATATCATAATATTATACATAATGTAATGCTCCTATTATTTTTTTTTAGATCATCGTTATAGATACATTTTCAGAGAGCATTTTGACATAATGTCAAGTAAAAAAAATATGCCTTAACTTCATGAAGACTCATTCATTTTCAGAGCTAGTACTCTATATTAATAATCAACAACAATGGTTTAGAGATCACAAAGTGTATCATAGTCTAGACTAGACTATTTATCTACTTTTTAATTATATAGATACATTTAAACTGCAATATTCCAGCATCGTTAATTTATCTGCCACTGACAAAGTGTACATGTTTATTAACTTAAAAACTGAATAAGATCCAGTTCAATAAGCAACTTATAACAAAAACCATAAATAAATAAAATATATAAAGTATTCCAATATTATAAAACAAGAACAAAAAATTAAATATGTAAAAAAATATTCACTATCGTGCCTGTAAACGCAACCCAAAGTTAGCCTCTTTAGTAATAATGATGGAATAAAAAACTATAAATGTAAGTAATGATGCCCAAAGAAATAAATGTAGATACACTCCATACCTACTTACTAGAAGCACTTCACGTCACATTTTATTTACAACTTATAATATTAAAATAATAAGTATATTGTCGACAAGTTAAATGGTGTAACATTATTTAGCGTAGTATTCGAAATTTGTATTAATTTGTTGCCTTATGGTTTAACGGATCTTAATAATTTGCTACAGCTAATATTATCATAATAAATTAATCTCAATGACTACATTAATACCACAGGAAACAAGCTTGCAAACCATTACTATATACATATAAATACCTATGTACAATGCCTTTGTCAAATTCGATTTCAAGAATAAGTTATGTCAGAAATGAATATTCATAATGAATTTCCTACAGGATCTGATGCTCTGTATTCTCATTGACAGAAACATAACACTAACAAAAAGGTAGTGATTTCACTGCTATCAGGGCTAGATTAAGAGGTGTGGAGGCCCCTAAATCTAGTGACCCATCGACATTGATTATTATTATTTATCTGTGTTAAGAGTTTTGGAGGTCCCTAAATCTTACTCGATTTTAACACTTAACACAAGTAAAAGTAATAAATGTTGATGGGTCACTACCCATCACTTTTATCTGTGTTAAGACTTTTTGAGGCCCCTAAATCTAGTGGCTCATAAAAATTTAATACTTTAATCTGTGTTGTGGGGGCCCCCTATCTTGTGCGGGCCCCTGCGCCACAGTCCCGCCTGCCCTGCCTTAAATCCGGCCCTGACTGCGATATATGTAGGTTATATTCTACTTGCTTCACCAGACAACACACGAAAATCCGCTATGCCCAACCTCTGTTAGCAAGTCCAGCTCATTTTACAACAATCATTATAATCTTACTTTTCTATATTACAATTTAATCATAACATTCACTTGTAGATGCCCCATGAGCCAAGATCTTGCAAGAAAAATGATAATAAAACAAATATCTACAGAACTGTCTCCCAGCCTTAAGAACCAAATATACATTTATAAGCTAGAGACAAAGGTGAGGATTTTGGGTAGTCTCCTTTTAAACTTCATTTCTTTTTAAAGATATAATATTAAGAGCATGTTATTTCATGAACAACAATTTCAAACAGAGATTCAATGCAGGCAGAAGTCACAGCAAATGTTACATCAGCAGTTGAACGAGGTTCGGTTCGACCTGCTTACAAGGGAGCTGAACAAAAAGATGTCTTTCAGCAATAATATGAGCTAATTAAAACGAACTTTATATATTCATTGCCTACTAATAATGAAGATGCAATAGCAAGACGGGCCTCTGGCATTTTACCAGATGCTCCCGGATCAGGAGTCACAAGTACTGAATGTTCCTAACGTTTATTATTACAAATTTTAAAAACCTACCTCTGCTGACCACGTATTGGTCAGTTAGGGGTCCCATCTGGTGAAATTGCAACAGAACTCAAAAGGAATATTATTTACTTAAAAAAAAAACTTGTCCACCCAAACATTCAATATTTTGGATGAATCTTCAACTGCATATTCAAGTTAAGAAATGAAAATCTCCTACAAGTTTTTGTGGTAACTGAAAACTATAATTACCTTTTTTTCCACATTATATTTGACAACAGCGCCCTTAGCGCGCTAAGCTACGAAAGGAGACAATTATAGTTTTCGAAAACTAACAAAACCAGCCCCCTGGCATTAGTAACACGATATGATACACAGCTCGTTTCTATCGTGCTCAATTGTCAAATTAAAGTTTGACAGTTAGACGCGATAAAGAACGTGTTTCATTCATAGAGGTATAAGAATAGAGTAGGGGAGATATAGACTCTACTAGAAGTGGAAGTGTCTCTCTAATAGAAAGAGAAAGAAGATAAGAGACCGCTAGCTTTCTCTCTCTAATCGCGCATGCGCATCGGCAACCGTAAGCATCTTACTATTTCGATGTGATACCATTGGATGCCATGTGTCACAAGAGAGCTGTCACTCATCTTCCTTCTCTTTCTACTAGACGGACACTTTTACAGCCACCTTCCCCACTCTATTCATATATCTCTATGGTTTCATTGCATTTAGTTGTAAATCACTTATGGGCACAGAGGCGCTGTGTTCAGAGGTTATACCACTTTAATGTTGCTTATGTTGTTGGAGGTGTCCTCTATCGCCTTATCCGGGGGGTCGCGGCGAAGTCTGTTGTCGTCGTGGTCGGGTTCATCGACCGCTTCCTCAGCGTCGGAAGGTAGGACGTCGTCAGTGGGTTGCGGGGCTTCGTCGGCAGATGGCGGTGGCGCTGTGAGGGCGCTCCACCAGCCCGAGAGAGCGCCACGTGCTTGCGACAGCGCGCCTCCGACGGCACGCGAAGTCGTCGCGACCGCCCGCCCCGTACTGGCCACTGCAGCTGTCACTTTCCTACCGCCCTCCGTTGTGGACATCGTACTGTCAACATTATAATATAGTTAAAATCTATACATATAATAAAATGGTACGAAAGCCAAAACAGTACATTGAATATTTTTTTAAATGAATATTTGGGGTGTGATCTAAAATCGATACCGAAGCCAAAAATATAGTATTTAGAATTTTTGGCTGTTTGTCTGTATGTATGTCTGGTATAAACTCAAAAAGTACTGCATGGACTTACTTCTGGCACAAATATTATTAAGAAGTCGGGTCAACATATAGGCTACATATTATCACGCTATCACCTATGGGGAAGAGCAGTGAACCTTTATTTTAACTAACTCCACGCGAACAAAGTCGCAAGCGGCCGCTAGTAATGATTAAAAAAGTACTAAACAACTTATAGGTTTTCCAAGGTCAAGGTCAAAACTTTGTTAAGCACCACCCAATGATTTTTGAGCTCAAATCAATAAAAGCTTAATAAGAAAATATTTTCAAAATGAATAAAAAGTATTAAACAACATATGGGTCTTCTATTGTGAAATTGTAGGTAAGAACATTTTTTAACCACCACCCAATGATTTTTTAACTCAAATTAATAAAAGCTTATCAAGAAACTTTACAAAAACATGTGATTGGCTGACAACCTGCCAGTATTGTTTCAGAACTGCAAGTTTAAAGAAAAATATGACTATTATCAATCACATCACAATGTAGTAGTATGGTAGAAAGATTTTATCTTAATTACTCAGAAATTAAAATTTCGTTTCTATACATAGCAAATAATATAAAAATAAAGAGGCTGATCTAATTAAAAAAAAATACATCTCAGGACTGTTTGCAGTATTGTAAAAGGATTTATACACTTGGCAACCTTTTATCTTTTATAACATGATTTGTTACTCCAAAAATATTATTTTAATTTAATGTCACGGCTCTAGTATTTTTTTGTGAAAATGGCCCTTGAAAAATTATGTAGAAAAATATTTCATACTTACTGTGCTAACTTCAGTTTCATATCAGCTACAGACAATTGTCCAGAAAAAGGATGTGCAGGGACAAGATTGGTAAAAGCTTCAATATCACCATTATTTGTTGTTTTTAACCAGTGTTGGTATGCTGGTGTAGTTTTAAAAGCTGCCATAAATTGCGCATTATAAGAGTCTATCTCTCTACTGCCTTCTGTAAATATTACATAAAATATATCCATAAATATTTATTTTATATACATACACAATAAATAAATATTATAAACTATAAATGAATATACCTGATAGTAAAGAAGTCCTTAAAAGATAAATTAAGTAACTAGAAAATTGATCCCTGATCCAAGCATCACCCTGGGTAGAACCATGGCGTACAACATGGTCTGCAAATCGGAGATCCTCAGTGCCAAGAGCCAATTGCCTCCTTAATGCAATATCAGAGGTTTCTATCCTCATCTCATTCAATTCAACAAGAACATCAAACAATTGCCTTTTTTGCTTGAAAAGTACATTAGATGCACCAACTACAAATCCTTGAACCGCAGGGTCTGATAAAAGGTCTAGATACTGAAGTGATAAATAGGGTAAACACAAATAACCCTCCTCAAAGAGTTTTAGTGGGAAGCCACACTCCGCTTGATCTATCTGGCCTGTTAAATTATATAGACCATCAACACTCATATCCCTGGCCATTGTAGGACTTTGTTGAGCTTCTATTATAGCTTTGTGTGGTTTATATTTTTCACCAATACTATGGCATTTTTCCCTAGCAGCTGAAAGGTCTTGTCTGTCAACAATATCTGTCAGGATTGCATCATCAAAACTTTGCCTGCTAACTCTATCTTTTTCCTCCATCAGGTTACCCGTTTCCTTTGGTGACAATTCCTCAATTTGGCTAGTTCCGTTAATAAAAGAGTCATCTGATACTTCTGTAGCACTATCAACATTATCATTATTTTGAGTTTCATAATTTTGTATTGGAGATAATGGTCTTGATAAGCTGCAAACAATAGATTACATACAAAATAATGATGAATGATTTAAAACACATGCATATAATAATAGAAATAAGAAACACAACTCACACAACATTAGCAGCATGTGTCAATCCATATTCTAAACATCGGGGCAGCAATGTAAGAAGTGATAATAAAGCTGAGGATAATGCCCCTGCTGGAGATCCATATATAAGTACTTTCCGTCTGAGCAGTAGTAATTTAAATAGGAGTAGTGCTTTATGCCTCCAATTTTCTAATAATCGCTGCACTGAGAGACCTGAAATTTTTTAAATTTATAATTACTTTATTGCTAACATGACAGATTAAGAAACCAGATTATTCTCATACCAGATATTCAGATTTAAATCATCCAGAGACCCACAAAAATGCACACATAAAATTTTATTAAAATTGGTCCAGCCATTTAAAAAAAAATAGTATTTTTTTATAATAGGCCTGATAAAATCCTAGAACACAAAACATAGTACTTCCAGGCTGTTGTGAATCTAAACCATCTAGGGAATCACTCAAATGCACACATAAAATTTCATAAAAATTGGTCAATCCAGTTATAGTTAAAGTAAGACTAACAAACTACAATTGATTTAGATTAGCAAACAAAAAAAATAAATTCAAAACTTAAAGGAGAATGGGCAAAATGGGCTAAGGTGCGGCCACTTCAAAAAGTGATTTAAATTGATAGAAATCATAATTACGATTAAAAGTTGTTATGGACTCGTACACCTATCTCGTATAGTTTTCGAAATAAACTAAATAGTGTATCTACACTAATATTACAAAGAGGAAAGATTTGTTTTTTTGTTTTTTTGAAAAGTACTGGGCCGATTTTAAAAATTCTTTCACCTAAAAAGCTACATTAGTCCTGAGTAACACAGTCTACTTTTTATCCTACAGGAATCCCCATGACATACGATCATGCGGGCGAAGTCCGTGGGCGGAAAGCTAGAACTTTATATTATTTCGTTTAACTATGTTCGCGTGGCCTATATTCTTTACATTGGTTACCCAAAAATAGCATAATCATGTTTTAAAATGGTTTTCAAACTCTAATACAGTGAATCAAAACAGTAAGCACAGTTTCTATGTAGAGAGAGAGAGAGAGAGAGAGGATATTAAATAAAACTTAAATATTTTTTCGTTTATTATTACTTCATCCAAAAAAGGTGCTGTAAGATTTAGAGCTCCTTGGTGCCGTGCCCACCCTAGGTACCATACAATTGACATAACGTGAGCACAGCAACGTCTTCCTGTAAGGCATGTACAATAATATTGGGGTATACATTCTGTTTAAACTCCTTCTCTATTAACTATTTTATATACATAATATACTCGTGCTCTGGTGTGTCTTGATTGAATATGTCCTCTTAAAAGATAACAATCCGCATTTATATGTGGGATATCTACAGAATCATCTCTCATACCTTCAATCAAGTACACACCATCCCGTAAATGTTCACTACAGTAGGACCGAGCGAGCTTTATTTGATAGCTACCTAATGCAAAGAGGGTCAAATCTCTCTCTTCTAACTGAGGAAAATCACCAACGGATAAATCATCAGCAGATATGGATATACAGCTCACCCGGTGCCTATTTATATTATGTATTAGTAATGACGTAGTCGGCCAATAAGTTTTCTACATTTATTCTCAAATGTATTTGGTTTAATATTTCATTTGCATAAGGCCCATTGACAAAAGGTTCTCGAAAAGTATTTAGGAGGGCGGCTGCAATCTTAAAATCCTGAAACATATGTGGCACGGCCCTATTAAAATACTTTTGCCGCAAGCCCACGCAGAGCCATGTGGCATATTTAAATAAAAGTGATTTAATGAATATGAAATCTAGACGTTATTTTCATTTTGCCAGTCTTCTGTTTGGTGTTGTTAAAACACGTTGTCCTGCCTATTTATTCAATAAACTTACATTCTCCCATCTTAGTATAACAATAGCATCCCGTCTGGTATGTCCAGCGCACAACACGGCGGCATTTCGTGGTAGGCATGCGTCCGATATATCAAAACGAATCCAAAATCCGATTTCAAATACAAATCGATATCGAACGATTTCTCAACAAGAAAATCCGATTTCAGAAATCTAACCGAACCAAAACCAAATACCACAAGTATCCAAATGTAAATCGGATTCGAAATTCGTGATTTCGTTTTCGGAAGTCAGATTTCGTGCTCGGAAGTCCGATTTCGATTTGCTGTTTACGGAAATCTATTGCTGTTCTCTGAGGCGGGATTATTTATCACTGAAAAGATATGTCGTCTAAAAACATCAAAAGTCGAGCAACTTACATTTTTGGACGCTAACCTGAAGTAATTAGGTTTGATTTTGTAAATGGTTTGAAAAATAATAAAAACAAACAGAATAACAAAAAAAAATGGTTGCCTGTAAAGTCGGTTTTACGGGCGAAGATTTTACGTGACAACGTCTTTTTCTCGGTAGAATATTTATTGATATGAATATAATTAAATTGCACAATAGGAACAAGGAATTGAATGAAAATAAGAATAAGAATTTACTTGCACGCGTGGGTCACACATTACCTGCGCGTGGTGCACCAGCCTGGTGTGGTCGTATAGCGCGGCGTGGTAGGTGAAGCATGCCCGGCAGGTGGGGCACGCGTGGGTCACACATTACCTGCGCGTGGTGCACCAGCCTGGTGTGGTTGTATAGCGCGGCGTGGTAGGTGAAGCATGCCCCGCAGGTGGGGCACGCGTGGGTCACACATTACCTGCGCGTGGTGCACCAGCCTGGTGTGGTCGTATAGCGCGGCGTGGTAGGTGAAGCATGCCCCGCAGGTGGGGCACGCGTGGGTCACACATTACCTGCGCGTGGTGCACCAGCCTGGTGTAATTGTATAGCGCGGCGTGGTAGGTGAAGCATGCCCCGCAGGTGGGGCACGCGTGGGTCACACATTACCTGCGCGTGGTGCACCAGCCTGGTGTGGTTGTATAGCGCGGCGTGGTAGGTGAAGCATGCCCCGCAGGTGGGGCACGCGTGGGTCACACATTACCTGCGCGTGGTGCACCAGCCTGGTGTGGTTGTATAGCGCGGCGTGGTAGGTGAAGCATGCCCCGCAGGTGGGGCACGCGTGGGTCACACATTACCTGCGCGTGGTGCACCAGCCTGGTGTGGTCGTATAGCGCGGCGTGGTAGGTGAAGCATGCCCCGCAGGTGGGGCACGTGTGGGTCACACATTACCTGCGCGTGGTGCACCAGCCTGGTGTGGTTGTATAGCGCGGCGTGGTAGGTGAAGCATGCCCCGCAGGTGGGGCACGCGTGGGTCACACATTACCTGCGCGTGGTGCACCAGCCTGGTGTGGTCGTATAGCGCGGCGTGGTAGGTGAAGCATGCCCCGCAGGTGGGGCACGCGTGGGTCACACATTACCTGCGCGTGGTGCACCAGCCTGGTGTGGTTGTATAGCGCGGCGTGGTAGGTGAAGCATGCCCCGCAGGTGGGGCACGCGAGGGTCACACATTACCTGCGCGTGGTGCACCAGCCTGGTGTGGTTGTATAGCGCGGCGTGGTAGGTGAAGCATGCCCCGCAGGTGGGGCACGCGTGGGTCACACATTACCTGCGCGTGGTGCACCAGCCTGGTGTGGTTTTTAACTATAGAAATATATTTTGTTTACTAAAACATTGTACATGTAAACTTAAACTTAACACGAGAGACTCATCGTAACGTTACCGAGCGTTACACTTTTTCATAAGTGACTCCCAGCCGCAACCTAATTTAAGACGTTGTCACGTCAAAATACTACAAAATATGTAAAAAGAAATCATTGTATAAAAGCCGATTTTTAAATGCGCCGCAAAAGTTTTACTCTTAACCGTAAACATAACTTTTCTGCTAGTCCTAAGCCTAGATTTAAAGCATGAAGGAAAATCGCGAAAATCTACGAGTATCCTTGCTTCCTACAATTAATTGTTTGTGATTGTCGTAAGCTAATAAAACCAAATCATAACACAAACTAGTGAATTGGCTAAGTTCAGCACATCTGAAATCGGATATCTAAAAACGGATTTTAAAATCGATTTTGAAATCTGAAATCCGATAAATATCCGTTTGCGTTCAAAACCAAAAACGCCCATGTCTATTTCGTGGCAATTTTCGGTACTCTGCCACGAAGTGTTGGAATAATTTACCTCCTCCTTTGAAAAGCTGTTGTAGTATCGTAACTTTCAAACGTACCTAATTTTAAAAGATATCTGCTAGAATTACAGAAAAACGAAGTTCCAACTCGAGGAAACTGCTGTGTTGTTCGTTGATTGCCGTGCTAATTTACAATTCTTGTGTAATAATTACATATAATGTGTATGTAGTAGGTTTATAGTCAGCAACTTCCTAGTACCGAATATTTTAAGCTTAAAACATTTAATAATTCATTTAATTAAATTTTCTACCTAAGTGGCTATTCGTACTCTCGTCCCTACTTTTCAAGGTAACCACGGAAGACCAGCGTCGGACAGTCTACGACATCCGACACATGCTGAGTGGACTGCCTTTTTAGTGACGCAAATGTTTAGACCTAATTTATTATATTTATGTATAAGGTGTGTTTTCATGTACTAATTTGTGTCACTGAATAAAACATTTTCTTTCTATAGACTACCCATCGACAAATTGTAACAAGTCGCGACTTGTTTGCTTGGGTAGTTGAGAGCTGGGTTTCATTCGCAGTGTTGCCACCTTGGCGGTTTTTCCACCAGAACTGGTGCTTTTTCACGGCTTCTAGTGGTATATTTTCATGGTCTAGCGGGTATATAATAATCCATTTATTCTTTCAAAAAAAACCTAAAGAAATATTTACTGGATGCTCAACAGGAATTAGAAAACTTTCGGCACAACGACTCGTATATTTAGCCTTTCTTCATTGGTATTTTTGTGTTTGTATATGTATATATGTATGTGTTTACATAAACACTTGTATCCGTAAAAGTTGGGTAAATTTATTAGTATGTATGTAATATATCATAAATACTTGTATCAGTAAAAGTTCGGTAAATTTATTAGTATGTATGTATACTTTTAATTTTTCTTCTATATAAATCGCACGTATTTTATTTTTATTTAATTTGTAAGGAGGAAACGTGTTTTGAACATACATTGGGGGCTGGGGTTTAGTTTATAGTCCAGGGTCTAGTTGAAAACCACCGTCAACTCATTGAGCTGACACAATGCTGAACTTTGATCCTTTTTGGCGCAGGCAGGCACTTTCAAGTTTGCATTATTTAACCTCTTTTTTGTTTGTTTTTTGTAATACATTTTATTTTCTTTTGTTACTTATAGATATTCATTTAAATAATTGCATGTAAATTGAAAATGTACCTACCTATTTTAAGCCTACTGTGTCAAATAAAATTATTTTGTTTGTTTGTTTGTTTGTTTGTTATATTTTGTTTAGTGTTTTTAGTGGTTTTTTAACATGAAATCTAGCAACATAATATTTTTAAGGGGGAAATCCCCTAACTTTCCGGAATTTCATAATGTTCTAATGGTCTAAGTGTTCTATGCTTACTCTGTGACAGGGGAATTCCTACACGCGTTTGTCTGTTAAGGGCTTCCTTTAATCGTTCATTCTGTTTCAGAAATTAGGTTCACATTCATTGTGTTGTTAAAAAGTGTAGAAGTTTGATTTGATAGAAACAAACAACTGAACTCTTGAAGCTGTATGTTTAGAGTATTCAATTATAAGTTATTATGGAAATTCTATTCAAGAATCAGAATTACATACTTACAAAAGTATAGAAAAGAATGGCAATCACTCGACGAATTCCAAACATGGCTTAAACTTTTAGCAGGTGTTGATGCGAAGGTGTTTTGTTCATTTTGTAAAGCAGAATTATTAGCAAAAGTAGTAAATTTGAGAAGACATGCTAAAACAAAGAAGTACATACAAAAAATGCAAATTCTTTTCGGCAATCAAATGATACCGATATTTATTTGTTGGTTATAAAGAATGAATATAAATACATATTTACCTGGTTTTATTTCATTCTCTAGTACAACTAAGGTAACGCTCGGAAAAGTTATAAGTTAGTAAAAACAATATAGCCATTTTTCTTCAAATAACTAAATTTTACTAATTTAGGACGACTGCGGGATACAGTTATTTCTGTAGGATTTCATACATATTCACTGGTTTTTTTATTTAAATTAGGGTTTTTTTGTTGTCTGAGATGTAATTGTAATTTAGCAGATTTTGGTGTATTTTATTAAATCCAAATTTTTGAAAACTGGCGATATTTTACCTTTGACTTGGCGCCTTAAAAAATCCAAGGTTTGGTTCATTCGTTTCTTTTGATGGTGGCATGTGAGCTTCATAACCACAAGATTCTATATTTGGCAATGAATCCCGAAATCCCCTGTCCAAGATAAATACATCCCCAGATTTAAAAAACCAATGAAACGCCGAATCTTCTGACATTAATTGGGTCATAACAGTTGAATCTGAAGTTGTTGCAGCAAAAAGTCCGACTACGTCCATTATGTATCCATCACTACATGTGATGATAAATGGTTTTAACAGGTTTTGGAATTTATGCAAACTATATGTAAGGCGTTGAAATGAAAAATTAGAACTTTTTTGGATGTAAATATATGTGCCGTCAAATATAAAAATTAATTTCCTATTTTCTGCAGATCCTGGATTCCCAAAAATGTTGTTGGGTATTAAAAGGTTTCTCCTATCTAGTTCTTCTCTCGTGACATGGTCAATTCCCAGGTGACGCGTTACAAAATTATTGGACAAACATTCTCTTGCTTGTTTAAGGAAGTGTTCTAAAGTGCGTCGAGATACACAAAAAAGATTAGATAATCTTAGATTTGATTCCCCAGTAATCAGTGTGCTGAGGTAGATGCAGAGAGCAACTTTTGGTCTTTTGCATGTTTGACTTCATAATGATGTTTCTTCAAACATTTGTTGAAATTGCGCCGGTGTCACTCCAGTCCAATAGAAGAACTCATCTGCATCATTGTCATTAATGTTTTCAAAATCGAAATAAGCTGTTTCTTGGGAAGCACGTTTAACCATCTCAAATACATCCGCGACTTGCTCAACGGTGAAATAGTTTATTAGAGTAGGCGAATCAATCAGTACTTCCCAATGGTTAGATCACAAATGTTCTTGGCATATTCTGGCATTGATAGGTATGTATATATTGTGATCACAAAATACTTTTGATTTGATATGTTGAGGAATTCTTATGCGCACTTCTGATCCACATTCCGGGAATAAACAATGAGAAGTAGTATTTGGCACACGTTTAAAATTTGGTATTGATATATGATTGGTATCATCGGCTCTGGGGATTTGGTCCAGAATCGGTTCTCTAAGTTGGTTTCTCGATTGGGCACGTTCAGCTCTTTGCCAGCAAACACGACAGATGTAAGTAGTTCCGTTTCCAAATACATGATTAGAAACCACACGATCACCAATGTAATCGATCAAAAATGGATTGGCCGCAAGAACATCTTGAGAGACAGAGTAACGCCTTCTGTTACGAATGGAAACGAGACATGTTATACTAGTCTCCATTTCAGTTCTTCTCTTCCACTGGAGTAAAACACAGAGTCCAAGTTCACGTCTAGTCGTTAGCCAAGTACACGCCAATCCAAATCACACAGGAAAATCTATGGTCTGGTAAAAGTAATCTAAAGTCGTAAAAGGAACAGCAAAGCAACAACAGCACAGAACACAGCTGATCGTGAAGCAAGTCGACAAACAACTACCCGAATACAACAACGCCTCCACCCTTATGGGTGCGCGGGCGCATGAGGGGAAAGGGGGTTGAGGTAAAAATGTAGCAGCGGCGTCTGCATAAAGGGAATAATGAAAAGACCTAGCAGGTAATGTTTTAGTCAAAAATGGAACGCTTGTTGAGTGATTTATTACTTCTATTGTTTAGGTCATAAATGTGATGTCATAACTTTTTTTACCATTAATATATGACTTTTCATCCATACTAAGTATTGTTTGTCTTATCATAATGAGTCTTAAAAATAGTGTTTTTGATGTGGCCGCTTCCGAGCCCAAAGTCCATACATTTTGCCCATTCTCCTTTGACAAAAGTTCATATTATTTGTAATATTTCAAGATATAAATAGAACAACCTTAGTGACTTTGCATAACATAAAAAGAGTAATAATACCTTCAAGCAATTGGTCTACTAGTACAGGACAACTGTTGAGATGCTTATAAGCATCTTCCAATAGCTTTGTTTGTGAAAAATCCCCTTGTAAGAACCAAGCACGCACAACAAGTTCCAATTTGACAGCCAACCTCCCGAACAAAGGTGCTCGACAAATCACACAAACACTTTTCTGCACTGAGCTTCGAGTCATGTCATCAGTTTTCTGAACCACTTGCTACAAATAAGGTATAAGTATGCTATGAATGGTAAACAGGTGAAATAAATATGATTAAAGTCTGATAATTGTGAGGAAATATTCCAATATGAACAGGTACTTTAGTAGTATTTATGTAATAAATTAGTTTCTTTCTAGACAGAATGGGGGTTCCAATTTTTACAATAACTATATATAAGCAACAGAGTATCAATATAGGGACTCTTCTAGTGTTAAAACTTATTAAAGTAAATATGTACTGTTTTACCTCCACAGGTATTTGTCGAAAACATGAAATCCCATATACAGTGTGAGACGGTTCAGTCAAGCCGGGCAAGTTGAAATAAATCGTGTCTGATAAATAGTTGTGTGACCCATCTGGAAGCGCTAACGCTGGTAGGTGTCTCCAAGCTGATGGCAACTCTGTAGGTCGACCAACTACCAGCTCTGGATAGCAATGTTCCACCTGGAAGTAGAATGAAACTTCAACCACTGAACGAAATGTTGAAAATTTAACTACCAACACTTTCAACTGTTAAAATTCCTGTTAAAACATACAAATGGTAAATTAATTGAAAAGTCGCATCGGCAAATAAGTAGATGTACCTGACATCCTTTTTTATGATGGAACCCTACAACAATAATATTTAAAACAGGTTCATTTAAGCAAGACATTGTGCCTAGCTACACATTCTTCTGAAATACGTAATATTTTCTCCACTTTGAATTTGAAATATTGATTAATTTGGTTAACATTTAGAAAACAGAAAGATGACCAAAATTTTGTTCACAGATTACAATTTGCCTTACACAGCTAAACTAAGTAAGAGGGGGCCATACACGTTACAACGGTCGCACGGACTTCGGTCGTATGCGACAAGTTCGATCGTGACTGGATTGTTCGTACAACGGACAGTTTATTCGCTAACTGCTTTTGACAGATGGAAGTGATAATCACCGAGCTAAATAGTGATCCACTACTCCTTTATTATAACGCCACTAAGGTAGTTTTCTAATTACAGAGCATAATGCGACTCAGTGGCGCACAATGCCGAATTATGCTGATGCATAATTGGAACGTAAATTAGTTTTCAAATGCACCAGCAGAGTGCGTTCAGTGTTGAAAAAAAAATCAATGTTTGTACCTTCATCCATACTTATATTTATTTTTTAACACAGTTTGAATTAACTGTGATTATTTACAAAAAAACTACAATAAAACGAAAGTTTTAAAAAAATTCATCAATAAATGATATTACTAACAATATTAAATAAATAAACATTTCGATCAATGCCAACTTAAAGAAAAATCACTTGTTAATTTTCTGTCTACTGAGTTGGTACGATTACACCAGAGGATTACACGCATCACACGAAAACATTACTTTTGTGAGTGCTCGATTGTGCGAAGCTTTGCTGTAGTTGAAACATTCAACGATAGGCATTTATGCCGCATAATGCGCTATAGTGCTGTATTGTTGGCATTGATCGAAATGTTTTATTTATTTAATATTGTTAGTATTTATTGTTGAAATTTTTTTAAAAAATTGTTTCATTGTAGTTTTTATTTAAATAATCACAGTTAATTCAAACTGTGATAAAAAATAAATATAAGTATGGATGAAGGTACAAATATTGACTTATCTTTTCAACACTGAACTTAGCGCACTCTGCTGGTGCATTTGAAAACTAATTTACGTTCCAATTAAGCATCAGCATAATTCGGCATTGTGCGCCACTGAATCGCATTATGCTCTGTAATTGGAAAACTACCTCAGAGAAAGTATACATATGCTTTCTCTGAAAAGCATCGATGGATGATCCATTTTCTTTTTAGTTACAAACTGTAAATGTCAAAAAAGTTAACGAATAGGCCGGCTGAATGAACAAGGTCGTATCACCGGTCCATTTAAACTGTGCTTTGATCTACGGTCCGTGCGACCGTTTCAACGTGAATGGCCATTATAAAATGGTATGATTAGGGTTGCAACGATTTATCGGAATATCGATAATATCGAGACCAAAATATCGATATTTATATCGATATTTAAAATTCACTGATATCGATAATATCGATATCGGAAATTCCAAAATATCGATATTTCGTAGGCTAAATTTGAACACAATAATATCAGTTAATTTACCTGATATGACTATCTAAATTGAAAATTATCGAAATAACTATTGCTTTGAAATCGCAAGAGCTTATAGATGTATTAAAAAAATCTTGAACCCCAAGAAATATACTAAACTGGTGTGGATTCTGGCATGTTTCTCTAAACCTAAAATTAAATTTGACAACAGTGTATCCTTGTCATTCTCTATACAGAATGAAAAGAAGAGACTGATGTTAAATTTAGTTATAAGTTTAGATAATCATGCCAGAATCGACACCAACGTATATAGGTATAATCGTATACCTAATGGTAACTCATGCACTTAAATAAAATCCTTGCCTCTCTTTCTAGATAATTGTCAACTACTGATTAATTGAAATTTGATATCATTGTAATATAACACAAAATAAAATTAAGAATCTTATACAAATCGTAAAGTTTTTAAGCTCGCCAAGTCAAGAAAGTAAGATAGGTATAGTAATTTTGGAAGCTTTGGGCTTACCCTATTCTGAAGCCATGGGCACACCCCTGATGTTTTAACATTTTAAACAAAATAAATATCTTTGATTCGAAATTGCTTTTGATTTGATACTTCTTACAGCGCTATAAAAATATAGAAAATATCTATAAACATCGTGTTGGAAATGTTGGAATGGCTGATATATCGGATCGGATATCGATATTTACCTGCCCACATTATAAATATCGATATTTTGGAAACCTTTGCTTCCTTAATTTTAGGTTTTTGCTTTGCAAACTTAATCCAAAGCAAAAAAGAAAAAAATATCGATATATCGTGAGCGTCAGAATGGCCGGTCACTACCCATATTTTACATCGAAATAATTATAGAAAGTTGCTACCTAGTTGCTTCTAGTTGCTACTAATCGTTAAATAGTTGCTACCCCCGATTAAAACAAAATAAACTACTTTTTAAGGTGACCAGCCATTCTGACGTCAGAATGGCTGGTCACCTATCCAGTGAGAACAAACTGCGTAACTAAATAGAGATTTTTTTAAAGCAATAGTTGCTACTAGGTTGCTACCTTAATAAATATCGTTTTAGACCTCCCAGCTTTTAAGGATAAAGAGTTATAAGCAATTGAGCGTTCAAACATTATTTTAAAACTGTACGCCTGTAGAATTATACGAGCAAATTCGAAATCAAGTGCATAATGGGTATTGCTTGAACAGGCGCCACTTCCTGCTTATGCGATACCTAAACTTATTTAAAGTGATTAATGCAATAAATAAAACAAATGTTGACTATAAATAATAATTTATTAAAATAAAGTTGTTTCTTCTCTTTAAATATATTATACAACACATAACTTTCTTGTTACTTTTTGTAATTCTATTATTCAGATCGTTGTAACACTGCCATATATTCCCACGTTTGCAATGTGCCTTGTAATGGCCCATTTCACCAAATCCAGGTGGAACAAATTCAATAATTGAAATGAATTCATAGAGATTATTGTTTAAAACTAACTTTACATTTGCGATTTGTTTGGTACTAAGATTTGTTTATGTCATTCAGCGACATGCGCTCCTACTATTAAGAAGAAGGAATAATTAGCGGTTCTCCCTGGATCTTGAAGACTTCTTACCGGCCATCCATTACCAGCGCACACCGACTTTCTTCGATAACGAATCTTGAAAGGTTTTATTTCGCCAGCTACAGTCCACTTCCATCGTCAAGACACCTCCGTCAAAATTTACCTACCCTCATCAGAAATATTTTTTACAAACAAACAAAAATAACTCAATACAAAAATTAACAATTATTTTGTCTTGTTTCGGACGGTAAAATAATATTATTTATTATATTATTACAACTAAAAACATAAATTACATAATGTATAGTAGACAACTTTTAAAATAAATTCTATTACGCAGCGCCTGCTTATGCAGTACCCATTAGGCACTTGATTTCGAATTTGCTGGTATAATTCTACAGGCGTTCAGTTTTAATAATGTCTGAACGCTCAATTAATTATAACTCTTTGTCCTTAAAAGCTAGGAGGTCCTAAACGATATATATTAAGGTAGCAACCTAGTAGCAACTATTGCTTTAAAAAAATCTCTATTTAGTTACGCAGTTTGTTCTCACTGGATAGGTGACCAGCCATTCTGACGTCAGAATGGCTGGTCACCTTAAAAAGTAGTTTATTTTGTTTTAATCGGGGGTAGCAACTATTTAACGATTAGTAGCAACTAGAAGCAACTAGGTAGCAACTTCCTATAATTATTTCGATGTAAAATATGGGTAGTGACCGGCCATTCTGACGCTCACGATATAGTGAGCGTCAGATAACATCGAGTTCAAATCGTCGATATATCGGATATCGATATTTTCCTCACTTCGATATAAATATCGATATTTCAAAAGACTTTGCATCCCTAGGTATGATAGAAACACAGATAAGAGACAGGACAGACCCTTAGGGTACGGCCAGAGTGCACTCAGATTCAGATTCAGATTCCGAAAACAAGCGCGAGAAATAAACAGTGTAGTTAAAGCAGGGTGGCCATAGTGGCCGCAGGCAACCTGCTTAAGTAAGATCCGTATGGTGTCTGTTGCGAATTCTTGTGTAAATAGCCTTTTGTTGAGAAAGCAGCTTACGTTCCAGCGCCTGCTCTTTTTCGAATTGCCGTCGGGCAAGTTCAGCCTCCGCGGCCAACCAACGGGCCTTTATGGTGGCTCTCGACCGCGAAGATCCCGACGCTTGAGATTGAAACCTGGAACTTATGCTGTTGTTAGAAATGGGGCTCGTAGAGGGGAAGTCAAAATCAGTGAGAGGTGCTGCTGGCTCAGAATTGTGTGCTGTGGGCGAAACAGTGGCGTTGACCAAAGAAAGGTCCGAAACAGGGGACTGATCAACCCTGCCCACTAAAGGCATATCTGAGGGCGCCTCTCGCGGATTTTGTTGAGCCTTTGCCAGCAACATGGATTGAGCTCTGGTTAGCATTATAATATTTTAAAATTCAACGAGAGAAGGACCAAAAATAAACGTGAAGGAAATTTCAATAGCTTAAAAGGAGAGAAAAAAATAAGTAGTGCTCAATCCAGTGCTGACATATATAATGTGCAAAAAAAAGAAAAGTCAATATTATTAGAGATTAACAAAATAAGATAACTTCTTACATTTAAACCAAAAAGATTATAAAACAATAAATATGTACAAAAGAGAATATTAAAAAAAGGCTATTTACACAAGAATTCGCAACAGTGTCGATTTTCATCAAAAGATCAGAGAGCAGCGGCGGAGTTATGGCCGTCGTGCCAACAGGTTAGGCACGCGTTTTGTTTGCTAAGAGCTCCCAGCGTGATCGCATGCACGCACTTGATTAAAATTTTATTCATATTCACGCGTCGTAGCTATAGAGTAATATATTAACTATAACAGGGACATAAAGTGAATAAATAAATCGCAGGAGAGGTTAGCGTCTATATATCCAATTTAATAAATTCGTACGCACATTGGTATGAACCGAAGCAAACTGAACAACCTTCCAGTGAGTGGATGCCATTACAAACTCTTTGCTAGTATCTTTGCCACAGTATTTGCTACAATGTTGGCCAACGTGTAGGGTAGCCTTTATAGGATGATATGGTTTTTTGTGTCCGTCATGCTTAAAAGAATGGGATCGATCTTGCCTAAAGCTTGAATCACTGAGTATTTGCTAATTTATCACACACAATAAAATTATTAACTTTTTAAATCATCGTAGTAAATAATGAAAGGAAAACAAACAACCTCAATTCACTGAAGTCTATGAATTCACTATACCCTTATAATAAACAAAGAATAGATAAATTTTTATTTTTTTAAAGCATGTTACTGCTTTATGTTTAAATCTAAAGAAATTATAACTAGAATTGCTATTTCTTCTTTCAAATGTTTAATACTTGTAAAAGTATTCATTTGACATTGT